ACATGTGCTCAGCCGACAAGGAGTCTGTCAGTAGCCCCAGTGACTGATCCTGATTTCCCCCTTCCTTGAATTGGCGGGAAAATATGTTTTTATTTTTAATACAGATGACACCTATACTGTTTTATTATCATTTATGTTATTATTATCAAACTATTAAAATCTCGATAACAGTTAAGACAATAAAATAATGAAAAAGACCCTTTCCAAAATCCGAGGGAAAGGGTAAACAGGTGAGTTAGGTAGGACTAATTACCGACTCCTTGGTGGCTAAGCACATGTGTATGTGTAAAATACAATAAATAAACTTGTATTACATTAAACATGGCATGTATTCTTGCTATATGTGCCGATTGGGTTAAGTATAAAAAGTAGATTTTTTTTCTGTAGCCATCATCGCACAAGTAAATATATATTTCAGACAGAAGCATTTTGGCATTTTGCTCATATGTTAGTCAGTGCTACCTTAGCAAGAAATCGGAACCACTCCTATGAAATTTAGGCATATATTCAACACAGATGCTGTATATATCCTGGATACCTGTTAACAGAATCACTGGTTTATCAGTGTCTTAAGATTTTAAACTTGGTTGTGTATATTTCATTGATAGGTACTAATGGGTCAAAAGTGCTGTTAATTAATAAAATTAACTAGTTAATCGGAGACTTTTGAAAAACCCGAAGTCTACGTAACGCCTCGCCATGCTTCGTTTGCTGTCGCCATGGCAACGAGGACGCCATGATCTGCCGGCATTAGCTATGCTATCTATACCTCTTCTCTTATCATTATTTTCCCTTATCTCTCCTCTAATCTCCACCCCTCCTTCTTTCTTCCTCTCTTCTTCACTACACTCACTCACACTCTCTCTCTCTCTCTCTCTCTCTCTCTCTCTCTCTCTCTCTCTCTCTCTCTCTCTCTCTCTCTCTCTCTCTCAGAATGCACGAATGCGCGCGCGCACGCGTCTGTGCGTGCGTGTGTGTGTGGGTTTTGTGTGTGTATGTGTGTGTGTGTGTATGTGTGTGTGTGTGTGTGTGTGTGTGTGTGTGTGTGTGTGTGTGTGTGTGTGTGTGTGTGTGTGTGTGTGTGTGTGTGTGTGTGTGTGCATGTACGTGTGCGTGTGTGATGGATCATAATTCTTTCAAATTAATGAAAAAACACATTTGTTAACATCCATCATCCTGTTGACTAGAACACACATGATAATAATACACAAGCACTGCACTACATGAGCGTAATAAATACAGGAAAGTTGGTTTGCGGTTCGCTGACTGAGTGGAATCGAACACCTTTTGAGCAGGTATAGCATTTCATTAAAGCATTTCCGATAATCCTACAGGTAGCAAAGGGGGGGGGGGAGGGGGCAGAGAGAGAGAGAGAGTAGATGTACACGTGTATGTATGTATGTATACGTATGTACGTATTGATACGTATGCATGTATGTGTGTGTATGTATATGTATGTATGTATGTGCATGTATGTATGTGTATGTATATGTATGTATGTACGTGCATGTATGTATGTGTATGTATGTATGTGTCTGTCTGTCTGGATGCATTATGTATAAATATATGTATGTATGTAGTATGTATCTTTGTGTGCGTGTATGTATATGTGTTTGTAAGTAGAATTGATAAGGTGTGTTTAATTATTTACATGTATATATCAATTATTGTGCTTCCGGTTGAAGCCGTTTAATAACTGGACTGTACTTGTTCGTTATGTTTATGTAAAGGACTATATGAACATACATATTCATATGCTTATACATATACATATAAACACACACACACATACATATGTATATATTATTTATATAAATATATATATATATATATATATATATATATATATATATATATATATATATATATATATAGTTTATGCACACACACACACACACACAGACACACACACACACACACACACACACACACACACACACACACACACACACACACACACACACACACACACACACACACACACATATAATGTCTTTATTTATATGTATAATTTCCTTTTCCCTTGCTTTTCCCGATATGCAATTACATTAATTGTCAATACACTGTATAACACAAATACTTTTTTATCATTAAATTAAATATCTTTCCATGCGACACAGCCCCTAGTAACACACTCTAAATGATCCACATCTAAATGATCCACATTTGACATCACTTTAACAGTATTTCACATTGTTAATGACATCCCATTGTCTTGATTTCTACAGAGAGACCATTTATGACGTAGCTTAGTTGTTAAGAGTGGATCTCCATCACTTACTTTATTCCCGGAGAGCGAAGGAGAACACGAGGAGCAAGTCACAACAGAGCGGCTTATCGTCTCTATTTTCCCGAGTTGTAGTCTGGTGCCTCGAGGACTCAAGTGCCGACGTCTCTGTATATTTTATTTTTTTGGTCTTTTATTATGTACTAATGGTTATTATTCTCATGGTGGTGTTCTTGGTTTTTGGTTATGGTAGGTAGATATTGGTGTTTTGAA